CTCCTCTTTTGATGGAGCCCAGGATACCATTTGCTTCCCAAGCTGCAAGAGCACACTGCTGACTCGTTAAGTTTTTCATCCACCAGGACCCCCAGGTCCTTCTTTGCAGGGCTGCTCTCAAGGACTGCTCCTTCCAGTCTGTAGGGATGCCTGGGATTCCTCCAGCCCAAGTGCAAAACCTTGCCCTTGGCTCTGTAGAACCTCATTAGATAATATCTACCAATTGACATTTAAAACATTTTTTCTTCTTTTTTTTTTATCCTCTACTCTGTGGCAAGTTCCATATGCAACATAAGTAATGTGCTCATCCAATAAAAGTGTTTAAAAATGACCTATATTCTGACAGTTGAGTACCTCCACTTCTTCAGTGCTGGACTGACAATTATAGACTGATTAAATTCTTACACAATTCCCTGAAGGGAGGTCCCACCTTGACCTCTTCCACAGGGGCTGCTTATTGAATGAGAAACGATCCTGTTTGACTACCATGATCTGCTTCTGTTGGCAGTGTAAATAAAGGAGCTTCTGCTGGTTTTAATTATTATATTAACTATATTGAGCAACATTTAATTTCAATATTATTTCCAGCTGTTTCAATTCACATAAATAAAAATCTATTCTTGCAGATGCTTTAGGGTAGATAACTATACTTTAACGCAATTATTTTAATACATTCCAGTATTTTAATTCCTTTTGAGAACAGCAACAACTGTGACAAAAATACAATGCAGTCCGTAAATTATACCCTAATCAAAACTTGGGAATGAACAAATGTAACCAGATTCCATCAACCTTGCTGTCATCAGTTGTTCTGCACTGGTCTCAGGCTGTCTGTTCAGTAATCTTTTATGCTAAGAACATTGTAAAATAGATGGTAAGAAACAGTTTCAATATTTCTAATGCTAGATCAAACCAAGTATTTTAACATAGAGGTAAAAATGTTATTAAAGAAGAGATAGGTCCAAGATCCTTAATTAGAAATTAGTTACTTTATGGCATGTTTTTCAGATCAAGCCTATTGTTAGGAACTAAATACATGTAAATGTGTTCTTTCAGTTCCATTTTTTTCAGCATTCAAGGTGAAAATTTGTGGTATAAAAAAGAGCAGTTTTAAGTATTGTCTCATCACCATTGTCTCATTCTTTGGCCAGCTTCTGATGTCATGAGTTTCAACTTTTGATGGCATGCATAATGTGAATTCATAGTTTGAGAATTATTTTTAACAATTTTATTCAAAAACAGTTTTTAGTTAGAGAAACACTTCTTTAATTGACCGAATTAAGAATATCTGATTTTTGTTGCAGTTGAAGCTGGAAACCAATTTATATAGTTCTTAGAATCCAGATTTTGAGAGAATTTGTTCTTAAACTGAAGCCTAGTTTAAACTGTGGGTTTCAGTTCTGTGTTTGAGTCTGGTTATTGAAGCATACAAGGACCTCAAAAATAATTCAAATGTATTTTATTTTTCTGTAGAGGTTTTGGTTTTATTTCTTCTTATCAGGTGTGGAAAAATAGAAGTAACTGTAAGATGTTTGAAATAGAAGTTGTCATTTCCCTCAGGAAACTTCTATTTCAAGTTACTTCAACCATTATTTTTATATTCAGTATACAGCAAGATGTGTCATACATAACTACAGCTTTTTGCTAGTTGCATTGTAAAAGCCATGTAGAGCAGTCCTTTCTCTATGTGATAATGAAGCTAGACAGCAAAAGTTCTTTATCTTGTTACTCCAAAGAAAAGGATTCTACCATAACTATCAAGCTATATTGGTATGTGAGCTGCTTAAATTAAATCCAGCACAAGTCTAGAAAATGAAGACAACAGCTACTGAAGATGTTCAATAGTGCATTACAGGAAATGGATTTTACTCATACTGTTGATGTACGAACCTCTAAATAGTTTTAGAAAATCATTCAATAAAATCCGAATGGCTTGCTAATCACACTGTCCCATTGGAAGTGAATGGAAGCTTTGCCAACACAATGTTTGAAGTTATCTCCAAGATTATGTATATGAAAATACTGATATTTTCTAAATGCAAATTGAATCTAATCATCCAAAAGTTATTATTCAATAGAAGTGAATTTTATGTTGCACAAATATCATGTGCTTTCTTAACTTTCGAAGACAAATCAAGTTCTTACTCAATTCATCATTAAAAATGATGAATCTACCTTTTATGAAACTGTCATATTTCCTTAGAAATATTAGCCTCTAAGGGATATTTCATCATTTAATACTTTCCTGATATTCATATAATCTTTTTTTTTCTTAACGTTGCTTTTTCTTGTTTGATGATTTTTATTCTTCCCCCTCTAATTTAATGAGAATAAATACCATCTTCCTATTCTATTTCTTTTAAGGAGAACTCAGCAGGAGCCACTATAAAGCAGATATCTAATACTTTTATTTTTTAACCGGAAAATAACCTTATTTGTCACATAATTTACATTCTTGTTTTTCATCTTTTATGATTTTTCTTTTTTTGCCTCTTCTCTGAAAGCCGCGGAGGGTCCAGATGAACTGAAAAAGAGCAAAAGTCATAGAAGACTTGATTCGCAGCAAATATTTATCTTCTAAGAGGTCCAAATGAAAGTATTTAGAGGAATTTTTTTGGTGGATTTTTTGTTGTTGTTGTTGTTATTTAGACTTCACCCAACAGTCTTCATGTTCTGCAGTGTCTGAAATTATGCTGTTCAGGGGCTTTATGATTACGTGCATTTTTTTTTTTTTTTCCTTTTTAAATCCATCTCTTGTATTGACTTAATCTCTAACTATTGTGCTAAGTTTTTTATCCAGGCTTACCATGATCAGATCCTTCTTCTTTAACTACTCTAGGTGGTAACTACGCAGGAGCAGGAAGGGTAGCAGAGTTGCATTCTCAAAGATATGTATGAGGATACAACTCTGTAGGCAGTTCCTCAAGATGCTCCAAATGGATGAATTTATTACTTTAGTTCAGAATGGAAAATTTGATCACTCTGATGATTTGGAGCCTGAAAGTTCTTTTGTGTTTCACTGTACCAAACTTTTTTTTTAAGTTGAACTGTTCATACCAGCTGAAGGTTGGATTCATGCCATCTAACTGCAGTCATCTTAAAGTACCCATTTTAGTTAATTGTCTAGACACTTTCTATTGTCACTGAAGAAACAGAGGCTCTTCAAGAGCATGATTCATCCCATCCTAAAATAGGTGTCTAAGCTGAGATAAATTGGAAGTAGCTATCTTTCTCCACCAAGTAGCAGGAGAGTGCCAACAAGGGGTTAGTTGAAGTTATGTGAGACGGTTCATTGGTTTGGGAGATGAGTAATGTTTTTAAATATTTTGTCAAATGGAAGCAAACATGATAAATAGATTTTATTATTGAACCTTTCAGGTTTGGAAGGGCATAGGGCAGAAGGTAATGTATACACTTCCCCTGCAACTAAGCATAGATAGTCTGTGCTTTTTTTGTTATATGGCAGCTTGAAGAGCCAAAGTTGATGCATAACGCACCGCGGATATTTCAGGCTGCGATTAGCCTAGAAATCAGCACCCACTTGCAGTAAGGATTGCTAGTTACTCCTCTGTACAAACAATGTCATGGTGACACTTGAGAGCTATCCTGTCATTTTCTTGTTTGCTTACTGGAAAGTGAATATTCTAGCTGAAAAACAATTTAAACCCACTGCCTAACATATTTCAAAAATAGCTTGAATGGAAAGAGTTTCAAGCTGGTAGAAATATGATAGAAGTTTGATACCATCTGAATGATTTTCTCAGTAACTTTTAGAATAAATATTCATTGCTGAAGATTGAAACTTTTCTCAACAGTGTAATCGATAACAGTTTTACAGCAGAAAAATTGTTCAGTAATTTTTATTCCCATGTGTTACTTGTGGAGTGAAGGAAAAGTATCATGTAATATTAAACTCTGAAACGTTTCTTTTGTATTTTGAGGCATTCTTTATGACAGAGGCAAATGAACCAATGACAATTAAGATTTCACTTGCTTCTACTGAGCTTCTACTGAATGTTTTTTCATAACTGAACAGTCATATTTTCCATCTGATAGTGAAGTCTCCACTGAGAAAGTACTGGATGAAACAACCATTGATGTTATGTTATCTCTGTGAAAGTTCACTTAGCATTTTAAAGGAACAAATATGGTTACTTAGCATGTGCTGATACTGGACTGTGGTAAGAGGAAATGACAGTGTCAGAATTCCATTAAGATCTGCCCATCTCTAGTTTTCTTGAATGTTGGTAGAAATTTTTGTATGTCAGAAGGCAGATTTACTTTACATCTATGATACGTTTTGATACTTGAATTGCCATTTGTTTTTTTCTGTTCTTTTTATTACTTAAGTTCAAGGAAAGGAATACTCAAAGAGAGGTATTTCTACCAGCTTAATTAATGATTTTCTTTTATTCATATTTGAAATGAAGATACGCTCATAATGCTTACCTTTTGCTGATACTATCTTATAGTAAGAGTAATAAACTCTTAAACTCCTATCCTCATTGTGTATGGAAGCCTATACTGCAAGACTACTTCTGCTATTTTCAGGCTCATAATGGTGTAGGGAGACAAGGCAGTTAACTAGTCTAATAATCAGACTGTACAACCATAATATCTCATCTAATTGTTCTTTCAGTTGGGAAAAAAAAGACTCTGTAGCTATTTCCAAACCAGAAGATTCTTCTGTTTTACCTAAATTAGGAAATAACTTCTTCTAGCATTCTGTTTTTTGTTGGTCTTAATTAAGATGAATGGTTTCTTCTCACCAAACCGTGACTATAAAGACATACACATCATGTTTATTTTTTAGCCTTTTAATAATAATAATTAAAAAAAATAATAAAAAGTTGTAATTGTTCTGCCATTTATTATAATTTTTTGTTTTTTGTTTTTTACAAAGAAATTTGACAAGCAGATTTCTGGAGTTCTTAAAGGATTTGAAACAATAGCCTATGCATGATGTTATACATGCATAAATTACATACACGTACACAAAGAAAACAAGGCACTGTTAAGACTGTACAAGTAATAAATGACCAAAAGATTATTGATACATTAGAAACTGAGCTTCTAATTAAAACTGTATTGATAGTCATTATATAACACCCTAAAGCTTTGTAGTGTTTTGGGATTTTCTGCTTAAAAGCCCAGCTGTGTCCCTCTTTCCATACGTATTGGACCCCACATTAGTAGGTGCATAAATTGCTCCGATGTTGCTGCTGGAACGAACTAAGAAGTCAGCCAAGCGTTGTGTCACACATGTAGCAGTGTTGCACTTCCGTTTCTCCAGGTGGTGACTACTAATGTAAAAGAAAAAGAACCGAGATGAGGTCATGAAATCAAATGATGAGCAATCAGGTGTGCTGCTTCTAAAAGGCTTTTGAACTGTGCTAATGTAAGAGTTCTTTTAATATGTGCACAAATACAGGAACATTACAATCTTCCTTCCACCTACTTTGTGCCTGAATTTTTCTTTTTTGCACTGTATGCTATTATCATTTTTAATGATGGGGGTTATTTAAATGCAAAGACATTAACAGTCATATGTCATTTTTATTGATATTCAGAATAGCAGTTTATTACATCTAGAAAACCTGTAATGATAGTATAGTTAAGACAGTGAGTGAAAACAATGACTAATTGTTTACCTTTAAGCTGAACTTCTAAGTCTATTTAGAGCTCTTGCTGATATCATGAGGATTACTAACGTAATGGCAACCACTAACATTTATTTAGTTCTCTTCTTCCCACCAAATCATACCCTGCTCTCACCAAACAGTGATCTTTCAGTCCATGTTAAATGGATTGAGCCAAAAGACTCTCCCAACTGTGCCATCTATCACGAGAGGTGGCAGCTGTTGCCAACCGCTGCTGGCTTCAGTACCACTGAAGATTTAGTTCTCTCTAAATAGGGATTTCTTCAATAACGAAAAGGGGCCACATCTTTGTTAAAACATCTGCAGCTGTTGTGTAGGAGGTAACCATTTTCTGGATAGGGCTTTAAAGAGTTCCCGTGGAAGAGTCCTTATCTAAAAATAATATTTAATGCTCTGAACCAACCATTTACAGACACTGTGTAGGACTTAAGCAGCATTAGATTTTTGTTTTAAACACAATACAATGATTGGCTTGAAAGAGCACGGGCTTTACAACTTCTTCTGAAACTACTCTGCTTCTGCTCTACACCAAAATACTTGATTGCCACTTGCTTATAGAATTATTGTTAATTTTCTTTGGTTTCTTCACACTAATGTGGCATAGAGTAGACTGCAGTTTTCAGTAGAAATTCACTGTGAAGAGTTCCAATTTTAGTTTCAAACTGAGCAATTACCAATGAATACTTTTTCCTATTGATTGACTAAATCCATTATCTCAAATGTCATCCATTCTTTTAGAGTTAGTTGTGCTAATCTAAGAATGCAAATGGAATAGCAATTATGAGAGAAATGTCTGTAGTATACCAGCTTTGATCAGCAAATAGGCAGCAATTTTTAAGCAATCAATATTTTAACTAAATGTTTGCATAGGTTTGGTATAGCTCCTCTTAGATTTTTCTTGGTATTTCTATTATTTAAAAAGAGTTTAACGAAGCCCTTAACATATGGGGTTCAAACAGCAACTCTTTGTAATGAAAATCCTCATTTGTTAGTGGAGGCAGAATTCTCCTGTTCTTTAATGGTACCAAATCAGACCCTGTCACCCCAAGTTTAAAACCCCAGTTCTTACAGGAAGTTACCAGATTTCTAAACAGTGTCAAGACTGATTATTATTTTGGAAGGTAACCAAATTGTTATATGATAATATTTATTGAAATTGAGAGAGAAAGAAACAGATAACTCTACATATATTTACTGAGTCTGTCTATAGCAGAACTCTCATTGAAAGAGTATTGTTCAAAAGGCAAAATTGAGCATTCAGTGCTGTTTATCATTTAGCAGAAATTGCAAGTACTTTTTGAAATGTTATTTTATAGTCAAAACATTACCTGAAATTGGATTTAGGGCTCTATAAACGTTAATGTATGTATTTCAGACTACTTAAACTCTACCAGAGCCAATTTCTTTTCTTCATTCTTCCCATGATTAAATTGGCATGTAACACTAATGAAATATTATTTAATTTCAGGAAGTAGTAAATTTTAAAAGAATTCTATTCTGTCAAAGCACTTGTGTTATTAAGTAGGATATGTTTTCTTTTTATTTCTCCTTTAGGCTTGGAGATTTGACATTTAAATTAAAAAAACCTCTTACAATAGTCTTTACTTCTCAAGGTAATGTAGTATTTGCAAGCTTTTTCATTTATGAAAGGGCTGTAATTGTGAAGTAACAAATGATGTGCAACTTTTTTTCTCTGGATTTACTTTTTATCCTGCTTACGGAGTGGCTCTGTTTACAAGAAGAGTATTTTATGAGAAATGACAACAGGCATGAAGAATCTCAACAGAATCTCACTGGCTTAAATTTTACTTCATTTTACTTGTGACACATCAAGAAGAAGCATGAGAAATCAATACCTTTTTGTCTTTGCTGCTGGCTGTTCCGGCATTTCCTCACTAAGTCCTGAGAGTGTGTTCTGTGACATTATGGGCAGTATCCACTCTTGCCTCTTGGAAGTCCCATCAGAGAGATCATCACTCACAGATAATAATCTTTAAACAATAAAATACTCTGTGATACCGAATAGCTTTATTTCTGCTCATGTTATTTTAGACATGAAAGTAAAAACAATTCATGCAATAATCGAAAAGTTACCCCTATACAGAAATAAATATGATTACTTATTACTCACTTCTCAATAGACGTAGCTTCCAAACAGCTCAGTGTGACAGAAAGTACGATGAAGAAAACTGACAGCTTTTGGTTGCACATCTTTGCTTCCAAACTTTCTGAAAAGAAAAATGCTTGAGAATTGAGAGCAGTGCCAAATACTCCACAGCCTGTCCTGTGACTGATGACCATTCTGTCCTAAATCAACAGCAGCTGGTCTTTTTCATAGGCTAGAGTGAAAAAATGATTCCCGCAAGTTTAGTGACAGGCAGATTCAGACAGAAAGCTCTCAACAGTAAGCATTCATTTTTCATCTAATAGTGTCAATCCTTCCCCATATCTCCAGTTTGCATTTCCTGGCATGTCCTGATCTCAAATTTTGGTCCCAGGTGCAATTTACCTTGAAGTCATTTTAGCCTTTTCCTGAAAAAAATGCTGTTTATTAATCATGGGAACACGTTTTCCTAAAAGCACATCTATTGCATTGCATCTTAAATAAGAAAAAAGGGAAAATGTTTACCTTGTAATGGTCAGGGAGCTAATTGGAGAAGCACGCCTGCGTTAGCGAGAAGGGTGCATGCCACAGTTCCACGCTTGCACCTAGCTCTGGAGTATCCCTTTTCCCCCCTTCCTTGCTGACAAGTAATACAGCTCTTATATACCCTTCACACCTTTCTCAGCTCTGACATCAGGCAGCAGAGAGAAACTGTCATTAATTCCCATCCGTTTTGATAGAAGGTGCCCCAGAGAGGAGCAGAGGCAGCTTGGTCATCGTTACATTAGCACATTGGTAAATATTAGCCTAGTATATGCAGGATGCCTTCCTGAAGATAATAGCATATTGCACATCAGAATCATAGCTTCAGCTTTAGAGTTGTGATAAGATGCTGAGGTAATATTCCCCGTGGGTGTTTTCAAGGGCTAAATAAGGTAACATAAGTTATAGGGAAAGCTGGACTAAATGAGACATTGGATCACTGAAATATAAGAAAACAGACCTATTAGAAAACAGACAATGTTGAAGAGGTTGCTTGTAGAAGGATACGATGATCAAAATAGAAAAACGTGTTTGAAGGGATGAAAGCTAAGTGAAGCATAAGAAAAGAGGGGAAATGGTTTAAATTGACAGATAGCGTGAGCATTCAGGGTTACAACATAGAGATCATGTTCATTTTTTGGTTAACTATGAATATGAATGAAAATTCTCTCGTTAATGTAAAATCTTTTGTTAGCACTGGTAGATTCATTGTTTCAGATGGTATTCTTAGGAAGGTAAAGACTAATATTAAAAAGCTAGGAAATGTCGAAACAAAGGCTGCCTGTGTACATTTATTTCTAGTGTCCCCAGAGTACTGTTCAGAGAAAAAATAAAAAATATACAGTTTTTAAGAGACTAGGTTTATTTTTTTTTCTTTTAGATAATGAAAAATAAAATAATTACCTGACTGCATATTTTTCAGTGGGATTTAGGCAGGTGACAATGATTGTCTTCAGGTGTACCTTTAGGTGCCCAAATGCATTTGGAAAATTGGTCTTTCAGTTACTTATGGGGGTTAAGATGTTGACAAAGAAGCACAGCTGAAGTTTTCTGTGCTAGGAAGTTGTCACATGCATCTTCTGTACTGCCAGACAACAGGAGTTAATTCCTAACTGCCTCAGTGCCAAGTGCATTGCCTTAACTGGAAGCCACCTTTGTCAGTTTAGTCTGCAACAGCAGATTTTGTACTGAAATAACCAAAGTTCCACTGTTGCCTCTCTTTGGTCATCTGTGCTACTTGGGCTGAATGCAGAAAGGATATTTAGCCAGGATACAATCCTCTCACAGTGAATATAGTAGCTAGTCTGTCAATAAGATTTTTGCAAGTGACAAAATGTTTTTATAAAAAGTGGGATTCTGCTCTTGAATATTTTGCTGTCTGTTTTTAATGATATGATCACGTACTTTCTTTTTTTTTCCCCCTAGGTTCCTCTCCTTCCGTTCTGGATGGACGCAAGTATGCAAGAAGTAAGAATAGTTCTGCTATGTCTTCACCATGACAGTGTGTCCTGTGCAACTCAGAGACAAGTTTATCTCTCCGTGGAGTTCTTATTGATGTTTTCACTATAGCATTTGACTGGAATGAAAAAACATTCTGCTGTCATTTTCACTGTGGCATTTTGTATCACTGAAGTCATTTCACTCCCCTGAACTGAAAACATAATTAGACCCATTTTATAGAGATAGAACTGTGCCAAAAAATAATTGCGCCAATAATCTGGCTGATAATTAACAGCAGCTCATATTCACAGCTTCAACATTGAACTTGAATACCTTAGTGCACTTCTTCTGGAGCGGGAAGAGGTTCGGGTCCCGCTGGCTCTCAGGATTGGCTTGCATGCTCAGTGCTTGTGAAAAAGCAGCCACAGGTTATTCCAGCTCCTGAAAAGCTGTGGATATATCAGATGCAGTTCTGATCTGAGATGTTAGAAGGTTGGTTTCATTATTCAGAATCAGTTACTTTTTAAGGCATGTAAGGGATGTACCAAGACTGAATCAAGCTATGGGACATAAGAAAAGTTAAACAAGATTTTCAAAGAAGCATTAAATCTCAGATCCCAATTCCAGCTGTCATGGGGAGCACCTAATGTTATATGGAAAGGAGGTATTCTTGATTGCATTGTAGAAATGAAGCTGTGCTCATGATGCCCCTTACATTTTCTCCTGGGTCGGATTGCATTTCGCCGGAATTAGCGACAAGTCTCTCCAGCTTTTTGTTCAGGTGTAATGTTGACAAAACAAAGACATTACTTCTTCTGTTGCACATTCTTTGAAGCAGAAGTAGTGCTTTTGCACACAAACAAGAATGAAATCTGAAATCATAGAATATCTCTTAGAGCAGAAATATTCATGTCTGAAATGTCAAGAACCTGGCCCAAAGTACCATGCAGTTACTACCATTCAATTGAAGTGGTTTCAAAACTATCTTTAACACTGATGAAGTTCAATAACCCTGATCTCAAAACAAAACACCACCTTAATTACTGGACATAACAAATGTTATCTTGCTAAGGGAAAGTATTGAGTATTCTTAGAAAAGAAACACAGGACAGACTCTATCCTGGGTGCTTACATGATAATTGTATGTATTTGTACTGGCATTTAAATCCACATAAAAATAATTGTCTAAAATATTGTGCCTATATGAGGGTAAGAGGACACCAGATTTGAGATTTACAGAGAATCCAGAGGATATGGTATGTCAATACTCCAATCCTTTCTGGAAACTTCCTGTGTAAAATATCTTGACTTGCAAGAGGATGAACCTGCTCCGCGATGTAGTGCACTGGCAGCAGAGGAACAGGGAGTCAGTCTTGTCTCAAGTGTTTGCTGCTCTTATGTACTGGGGAGTGAGATTTTTCTAACTAAATGTATAGAGCTGTATAGAGAGTGCTCTAGTATGTGTTTCTAATGTGGGAGTCTAAAACAGCTCAGATTTGTGCCTGTTTCTTCTTGTTGACTATCAGCACAGCCTTGCTCCTTTGTAGATGTTTACATCAGAGGTGTATAAAGGTATGTGAAAGGAGTTCCATCATGGTTCTTTAACTTCCTAAGTCCCCAGTAACCTGACATTTAAGGTTGTCTGCCTCTTTTTCTCATTTACTGCTTTTCTTTGGCCATTCTTGACACCTTCTGGACAGCCATTTTCCACTTTTAATGACTGCTTTTTAATTTCTGCATTTCATATTTGCTTACTAATTTTAATGGCACTCTTACAGTCTTTTCATAGTGAATGTCCCTTTTCTATTTGTGAGAGTCAGAAAAAACCTTATTAGCTGTTACATGCACTTTTCCAGATGTCGTTCTGCTGTGTAAGTTGGCTGTCTTCAGTAAATTACACTGTTGCTCAGTTACCAGGAACTAGACATGAATGAATAACTCACAGTTTAGTTTGTCTATTGTATTAAAACAAAAAATGAAGAGCTTTAGGCATTAGTCTGAAGTTAACATTTGTTATTCCTTCTTGGTATGGGCCATTTAAGCAATGACAGAAAATCAAACAGCTCTTCTTGTTGATCCCTAAACTGGAGTTAACTCTGTTGAAGAGTTCAGGAAGCAGCAGCAGCAGAAGAGCTAATGGAGACAAAGTTAATCGTAGAATCATAGAATCACAGAATCACCAAGGTTGGAAAAAAACTCTAAAATCATCCAACCACCCACCTGAGGTAATTCAGAAATGGTGGCCATTCATGGAACTGACTAGCAAATGGAATGAAGTAATTTGGATAGGTAACAGCACCTTAAATCTGGCCTTTGTGTTATGCTACTAAGCTCACATCATGGACAGAACAATGATGTAGCTACAAAGGCTGTTGCAAATGACTGCTCAGAGTGTAAGTTCAGGAGAGTTTGTGCTGAATCAGTTCCTATAGTTGGGAATTTTCCAACCAAGCAGAATGAATCCTGTGTTTAGATCAGAAAAGTCAGAATTGACAGCACAACGATCAGTGAGTTATATTTCCTAATGCCAGTCCTGCTTAGATTTTATAGAGCTTTAGTTGCAGGGCTCCTACTGGCTTGCGTCTAACAACTCACCTTTGAATACAACAAATAGTTTAAATTCTTGACATTTTTTTCTCTGTCTTGCAACTCATTTCCAGAAACAGAAAAAAAAGCTGAGCTCTCCTTTGGTTATCAATGTTACTTACTAGGGCTCTAGACAGTACTAAGGGTGACTAGGTAACATGAAATATTACTGCCCTTCTTCCTTTCTCTAAATCTAAGCTGTCCATTGCTATCTGTTACAGCCATTAACTAGCTGTCTATAAGAATTCATCTATAGAAAGCTATTCAGCTTTTGGATATATTGCTGTAATATGGTACATACCACCAGTACAATAGTATATGGATTCTTATTAATAGGCAAACTTGCATGTGCACCTCAAAAAAGATTAAGGAATTAGGTCTGTGAAGAAGTACTGTTTCTGATTTACTAAGTGTTACAGTGAGAAATCCCAATCTCTCTTCTCCACCCCAACAACTTAGCATAGGCATCTGTAGAAGATTCTGTGAGACCAGGAGCTACCCTCCATACCTAAAAAGTACAGAGCAAATGGAGTAAGAG